ATATATATATATATATATATATATATATATATAGATTATTACTATTTAGAAATAAGTTCTTAAACTTATTTTTCTTAAAACACAGAACAGTAAATGAAGAGGTAAAGCAAACAATTATCTCTTCTAGTTATGACCTTTATACTCGGTTGCTGCTTGTTGTAGCTTGCTAAGCTTTAAGAAATTTCATGCATGGAGGATGAGAAATGAAATAATTTTTTTTAGGTTTTATTATATACATTTGAATAACCAAAAAATCATAAATTACTATATCAACACCATAGAAATCCATTATAATTTATCAAGTTTAGTAACTAAGCTGTATTTGGGTCTAAAAAAATATGAAATTTCAAACAGGCTAAAGACTCAACTTAACAGAACAAAGATTTGTCTCAAAAGAAAGAAATGATGCTGTTATATTTGAAAATAGCTGAGAAAGCCACTAGGAGGACATTCTAAGCTTTCGATTGAATTGGTTATTCACATGTTATACATAGAAGTAGGTGAACACAAGGGACTGTTTCCAAAAATGGAAGGAGGTGAGTGGGGCCACTGTGTTTGATTCAATACATGAGCAATATCTCAGGAAACAGAAAAGATAGGAGGTTCTTATTTTACATTCTAACTTGTAAATATCAGTATTTTGAGTTCCTAATTCATACAAAACTACAGACTACGTATTTTCACATCACAAACATCTAATTTGAACCAGTGCTGCATTTAACATACCATATGACACACACAAATTGATGTTTAGGTGTTTTTGTTTTTAATATTCACTCTTAAATTAAGAAATTAAATAATGAATAATATGAAAATTTGAATTAGAATCTACAGTTTGATACCAAACTTAATGAGATAAGTTCATAAAATAGTAGTTCAATAAAATTTTGAATGAGAGTCAACAAATGCAATTACATGACCTTTGACCCATGATCTGTCTGGAAAGGGTTAATTAAACACCTTTACTATCAACAATATATGTAAATTAAATTAATATTATAATGTATTTTATGATTCAAAGTTTTATTTTATCCAAGTTTTAAGTATATTTTCAAAATAAACCTTAAAAAAACTACTTCAAATTTCGGATGTATTGTCACATGACAAACGAGCTATGAAAATTCTCTACTTTGGCTCAATGTATCTTCAATAATACAATGGTAGTTGAGTAGAGGTACATCTAGACAATAAGATGATTACATAACCTTTTGACTTGCATATTTCAAAGTTCTCTATATGAATACAGTTGAAACAAGTATTACATTTGTTTTCAAACTCTGACAGGTGCCCTGCCCACCTTCAACAGATTTGTTTGAGTTTTATAGCTGACATGAAGATGTTACATATACATGTTATAGTCATTAGAAAGAGCTCATTTTACACTATAATGTAACAATGGTTATTTTGAAATTGGTGTGCAGTTTTTTAACGGACTACATGTAATTGACTGTAGTATTGTTGGCTGTTTGATTGATTATAGCACTTAGTTGTTTCTTACCTAAATATGTTATAATTAGAGATACAGTTTAAATAGTATTTAGGTCTTACTATTATATTTTAATTAATTATGTATTAGTTATATTTTAAAATGCATAATTAAAAGGTTTAAACATTTTTTAAATATACATCATACTTTACGTCCATTCTCAAGGCTTATGATAATATGCACTGAATGAAAGTTTTGCTGAACGGTTGCGAATGTTTGACAAAGAAACTGTAATATGCCTCTAGAGCACCGTTGGCTTGTGTCGAGATGAATAATAAGTGGCAAAGGAAAAGACCTGAAATTACAAACTTAACAAAAAGAAAATCCTATATTCTACAAAAAATTAATAGGTATGTTTTTTTTATTTCCTAATTTTAATTATTTCATTGCTTTGTACCTTGATGATAAAAGCTAGTTAGTGATATGGTAGAAAAAATGAAAAATAAAATATTAACATTTACCTTCAAAAATTTTGATATTCTTTCACAAGGTTCCAGAGATTATGCAAATGAAATGTGAAACTATTAAGATGAAGAAAAGTATTTATATACTTAAAATGAAAATTACTTTGCATTCAATTTGTTAATAGTTTGAGTGCAAGTAACTACAATAGAAAAATAACATAGTTTTAGTAAAAACAATTATAATAATATCATTCTTTGTGTACAAGATACTTATGATCTTTAAAAGAATCTTACCAGTTTTAGAGAGAATACATTAAGAAATCTCAGAGTTACCACACGTATTGTTGTACAAGTGAAATTCACGACTCAATTTCCACAAAATTGCATGAGCTTGACACGAAAGGGTTATACACAACAGCACTAATTTATTAGACAGTTCTACTACATTTATTTTATATAAAGAAATGCCAGTTTCTGATAATATTTGGAAAAAATATTGAACAATGTTAACTTATCAGTAAGTTGAACCAATAATAATATGTAATTTAGTTTCTGAATTAACACTTAAATTGGTCTACATCATCAAAGTTAACCAGTTTTCATTTAGCATGTATGCACATTTTTAATTTAATAACAGGCCAATAATGATACATCCAGTGAATAACACTTTCATTTTACTAAATCCCTAATAAAAAGAGTTAACAGAAATGATCACAAAAAATGGAGGCAAGTAGATTCAAAAGGACCTTGTGCTACACATGGGTTAAACAGGCATGCCAGAGACCCCTAGGGCCCATATATAGTTGCCCCCAATTTTGAAGAATTAGCCAGACAAAAGGCACCTAACCAGCACCATCCCCTGCAACAATAGCTTCTTCTGGCATTTTCAAGTGATTAATAGGATTGTATGTTGCATTGAATCCCATACCTTTCAATAAACAGCCCAACACATTATTACCCACAAGGCCATGCCAAGCTCAATTTATTAAAGAATAATCCATTACTTTGCCTAATAGAGCTAGTTGGAAACTAATTTTCTCTAAAGTAAAATTATGACTGAAGAAATGCTCCTGTTTGTCAACACTTACATTTCTTGTTGAAGAAATGGATTAGTTTTTAACAAAAAACTATAATCATGTTTTAAAGTGTAAGCTTGTCTATATATCAAATCTTAACATACTGTACAAATACCTGAAGAAAAAACATACAGAAATAAAAATAAATGTAAAAACACCTATAAAGTCATAAGTAGTGTACAACTGTATAATACAATTTGCAAAATTGTAGAAATAGTCCATTTCTTCACACATACATACATGGATATAAAGTGTAACAGACTTAAAATAAGACCCAAAGCTTTCGAATAGTTGACTATTCTTCTTCAGGAGAACAAAGAGAAGAACAGTCAACTATTTGAAAGCGCTCGAGTTTTTGGTCTTATTTTAAGTCTATATACAGTATTAAAATTATAGCCAATGCTTGAAATAAAAAATTATGTGCTGTACAAGAAAAATACATTTTACCTACATTAATCTTTTGACAATGGCCTACATACTCTGTAAGTAGGTTATGTAACTCTCGTGAAATTCTGTTACAAAAATGGAACTAATTGCTGAAATTGTTTGAAATTTGACAAGAAATTTTCTAAAAGTATGTAATTTCAGAAAAATACTTTAGATTTTTTTTCTATTATATCTAATAAAAATTCGTTATTTAATGTAGTTACTTGCACTCGGATTTTATTTTACAGTTTTCACATTTTATTTCCATAATCTATATAATTTCCTACATGAATATCAAAAATGTTTAAGGTAAATGCTTTTATTTCATTTTCAATTTCCTCTACCAAATCACTAACTCTAACTACTATCATCAATGTACATTGCAATGAAATGCTTAAAATTAAAAAACAGAAGTATGTAAATACTTTTTAACTCTTCATTGAATAATCTTAAAATATCTTCTTTGGGTCATATGCATAACTTCACATCTTTACCTTTTCCCTCATAGTTTAATTTTAATGTTTTATTTTATTTTCTATTATTACTGTTGATTATTTATGTTGACACATGACAACAGGCAATAGAACGATATGAGTGGCAGAGATACTTTAGCCTCAGGCAAAATCTTTTTATACTCACTTGTTGAGCGAGGCAAAAACTTTGATTATTTTATAAAAATTATTAAGCCTTTCAAATATGAATTTTAAAACACAAGTAATGTATAGTTAACTAAAATCTAAATACCATTTATCTATATCTCTAACATACAAAGAGCTATCATGAACAAAGCAGCCAACAGTAGTACAAGCAGTTACATTTACCTGATTACAACAACTTGGCACCAATTTCAAAATAACTTTTATTGGATTACAGTGTAAAATGAGCTCTTAGTAATGACTGTATACACATGTGTGAAGTATGGAAGATGGACATAGTCCCCATCAGGGGTTGACAAAATTTATTACTTGTTTCTACTACATTCAGCCAAAGAACTTGGAAACATACATGCCAATGGGGCAAGTAAACTACAATCTCATCTAGACATGCATATACAGGACTACACTTTTGAGATTCTAGTTATACATCGCTAAAGTTCAAAATTGTTTATAGCTTGTGCATCATGTGACAACAAAATCGAAGTTTTCATTATAGCTTTCAATGTTGTTTTTTTTTAAAATAAAGGAATAAAAACTAAGATAATATAAAACTCTGAACTATAAGGTACTTGATAATAATTTCATTAAAATACATTGATAGTAAAGTGGTTTGACCCTATGAGCATGCATATCCTTTACTGCACATGACACAAGGTTTAGTGTCTTACATTCAAACATATATTAAACTATTTCTTGTTTATGTTACACCAACTAGTATAGCATAAAATATTAGCTAATAATAGTATGTAAATTTTAAGATCTTAATTCTATAAGATAATATTTAAAAAAATCCTGAATTTCCCTAGCATGACACATTTTCTCTAGGTATTATCTCTTTTCTATTTTATCTACCACCTCTCCAGTAACTAGGAAATTCAACATAAATTTCTCACTATAAAATCATCATTGCTCAGACAAATCATAATATTTATAGCCTTCAAACCCCTCCTGCCACATCCTCTCTTTCAAGATTTGTTAATAGTTCTCTCTTACATCTAATTATATATTACCTATAACCAATAGAAAGCCAAGATTTTCCTCTATCAAATGACGTATTATATTACATTGTGTTCTGAACAGATAATCGTCAATTTCACTTGTAGTACAGGCATCGTTCCTACAGGAAAGGTAACAACTAGCTTGGATGAATTTGTAACGGCTCTTGTTGCATAGTTAGAAAACCAGAAACATTTAGATTGTTAGAGGAAATTGTCTGTTTTTTGCATATTACTATTCTATGTTCTTTGGTACATTATTTAATTAAATAAAAATTATTTAATTCACTAAATATAGTAGGGTTAAGTGTCATCAATAGTCGACAAAAAAAAAGAAGAAGAATACTCAGGTAAGTACTTTATTTCTTGTTTTTTATGTTTATTCTTTATTTCTTATTAGAAAAATAACTAAAATGTAAAAATATGGATCTTCTTAAATTAATTAAGGTTAGATTAGGTAAAATAGATAATAATAATAATAAAATCATAAAAATGTTTCATGAGGCATGCCCGCAAGCAGCTTGTGGGTCAAGTTATTTGATAGTGTAATATGAGCTCCACGTTCCCCAAGTGATTTAGAACTCATAATGGCACAAATAGTAGTTAGACACTGTTCAAAGGGGCAATCAAAAGGCAATAAAACAATAACATTTAATTATAAATAGATGTATACAGTTATGAGTTTAAAACTACTTAGGATGAATGAATGTTGTTTCATGTTACAATATGAAGTTATTCTGGAAAGAAAAAAGAATAATATAGATTTATTTCAATTTTTCTTTTTTCAGTGATTATGAGATCAGTCAAATTAACCAACTGCGTATAGTTACGGTATAAAAAATATCAGATAAAATATTAAGTTTTGCTGAAAACAAACATTTGAAATGCATTTAGGAGGTTTTAGGGATTACACAAATGAAACTTGAGATTTATGAGATGAAGAAAAGTATTTTTAATCTTAACATGAAAATCACTTTGCACATGACACAAATACTCAATATATATATTCACGGACAAATATTTTTTTTAGTTTATTTAAAATACTTCACTAAAAATATGACTTTTTGTATGTGAAAGACTTATAATGTTTACTAAAAGACTGCCAAATTTTGTGAAGATGTACACATTATATTAAAAGTCAGTAGTATCAAATCTATAGACTTTGAATGTAACTTAGTAACATTCACAGAAAGGGGTTTAAAAATTGTGTCACTGTCAAAGGGTTAAGAAATATGTGCTATATGTATCAGATGTGTGTAGAAGTAACACTATCAAAATACTTTTTTGAATAAAAGTTATTTAGAATAAAAAGCCTACCTTTCTGAATCTTTCTTATTTCCTGTTGGACTACCTGTGGTACTTCGGGATAACACTTGGGTTTTGGAGAGATCTGACCTCAAAAGATCTTTATCCTGAACTACTTCTATAAGAAAAAACATTTGAAATAACAATAAAATGTAGAACTAAGTAAAATGGTTAACATTTTCTGTAAAATAACAACATTACATGATAATTTCTGCCAGTGACAGAACAAATTAATGGCTGATGAATAATGGTCACAAATAACAGCACAAAGCTTAATGTAGTTCAATTGAGCTAAATAAAGTTTCTAGCTAAAATCTATTCTTCATATTAGGTTTTTGATTGATATATGAAATTAAATAATACATTTTGCAAATGTGATACACATATAACTATAAAATCAACCTCAGCTAAAAACCAAGAAGAAAAGCCATAATCACTCTAAATTACATGCTGAACCAGATGGGATTACGAAGCAGAGAAAACAAAGAAAGAACAAAAACCTTAATCAATAGAAAAAACAATATATATATATATATATATATCACAAGTTTCATTTAAAAAGCAGAAAATTTATCTGTACTTTCATAATCTAAGGATTAAAATAGAAAAAGCTGCACCCTTCCATTAAAAATAAAAACATATACTTAGAACACAAAATATTGTCTTACAGAAATACAGAATATCATAAAACTATTATAATTTAACTGGCTTCCTAACTGAACTATAAATAAGTTAGGTTTATTGACACTTGATACACTTTTTATTTTTTACTAAAATTATCTCTCAAGTTTTTCCTCAATAGAGTGTGTCACAAATTTACTTATATCTCATTAAATTGAAAAGTTGAGAGGTTTATATTTCATATCTTGACTTGTAAATATCTATAATTTCAGTTTCTGATTGTTTGGCTTCTCTGACAACCTTACAAAGGGAATAGAGAAAATCAAAGTTAAGAGAATCGGATAGGAGATGCACCATGTGACACATATGTCAAGATATAAAAATCTATTTAAATATTTCCTTTTGAAATTGAGCAATTAAAACTGAAATAATGTAAAACTTTGGATTATGAACTATGTTTTGATGCCAAATTTATTTCACATATATTGATGTTTAACCCCTCTTGATATGGGTAGGTCAATGTGTGCATTTCATGACTCTGTTCAGTTACACTCAAAATTTAAAAACTACTTTATTATCACTGTATGTTAATATATTTGGCATCAAACCACAATTAATAAATCAAATTTTAATATAAATTTTAATTTCTTAATTTCAAAAGGAAATATACGAATAAATTATTAATCTCCCTTTGTCTGAATAACATGACATTCATTCACTTTGACTTGCTCATTTTCTGTTTTTTCATCACTTCTCTCTGATGTCCTGAGTTTAACATCAGTTACTTATTATAATATAGCTATTACTAACGCTTAGTCTACTTTTAATAGCCTTCAATCTTCTTTGTGTATGGTGATATAAACATTTTAATATCAAATCCTCTCTGATGTTTGCTATTACATCATTTATAGCTAACAGAAAGACAGTTTTAATTTACTGAATGATATATAATGCAACCTTGTTCCCAGGAGAGTTTGTTATTTTGCCTACAGACTGAAAGATGCTATTGCCAAGTTCAAATTGAGCTGCTGAGGAAATTATTTAACGTGCTTATGCCTTTAACACTACAAATTACAATAGTTATAGGACAGTGTTTGCTTTGTAGATGTTATCGCATTCTTATTTGCATATTTGAAATAAATAAAAATAATTTAATGTATTAATGCCATCATTACAAAATATTAGGCTTGAGCTTCATCAGTGCACTGACAGCAAAAAACAAACAATTTTTTTTCATGTATATTTTCTATTTATTGTTATAAAAGTACTTAAAATCTAAAAATTAGAAACGTATTAGGTTATATAAGAAAAATAAAACAATTTCTCAATTGTGACTAGCTCATGTATTATGTCGTTCAATACTGTAATTTTACCTATGCATTCGCCACGTGATTTAAAGCTCGTATCATGGGATTATTAGTTAGACATGGTTCAAGGAGAAGTAAAACAATAAAATTAAATAAAAACAGATGTAAACTGTTACAGGACTTAAGCTTTTTAGGATAAATAACTAATTTTCTCTTACAATCTGCAGTCATTCTAGAAAGAAAAAAGGGTACTTTCTATTTATTTTTTTGTGGTGGTTACAATGTTGGTCAAATTGATTGAATCCATATAATGTTAGGGTAAAGAATAGAAGAGATAAATACAAAATTTTATTGAAAAACTTTGATATTCTTTAAGAGGTTCATACAAATGAAATATGAAACTGTAAGATGAAAAAAGTTTTCAACATTAACATTAAAATCATCTTGCACTTGGATTAGTCAGTCTAAGTCACACTCCAACTTCATGTGTGTGTGTGTGTGTGTGTGTGTGTGTGTGTGTGTGTGTGTGTATGTATATGTATATATAAATATATGTGTCTGACTATATATATAGTCAGACACTTACACATTTTTAATAAAAATAGTTTATTCAAAAATGTTATTTTCTGTGTACAAAAGACTTGTAATGCTTGCTAAAAGCTTTCAAGATTTTGTGGAGATGCATTTACTAAATTAAAAGTTATATTACAGATACTTTAATGGTTACCTTGTAGTTACAAGGGCAACCCCATATCAACAGTGTTAAAGAGCCATTACCATATTGTCTCCAAGGCTTTCTGATGGTATAAAATATACATTCATTTCTATTTACTAAAACTGAATTTTTAGATTATTTAAATTTAGGATAACTTTTTTATCAAACGCTTAAGACATAATGTCAACAATTATTAGATTTACATTTCTGCCATACGAAAGCATTCTGTTTAACAAGAAGAATGACAAATTAAGTACCATATTAGGCAAAGAATTACTTTATTTCACAACACATAATGTGAAAAATAAATTAAGTTACAAACCAGACTTCAAGAGATCCTTATCCTTCACGTAAGTTGGTCCAAGTGTCTTTACGGCAGTTTCGTTTTTAAGTGATGTCCTTCCCTGTAAAGAAAAGCATATAAAAATTTAATACTAAAAGTCAGAGTGAAACAGAAAGTACACTACTTCAAAATGTTAAGCCAGCAAATTCAGAATTTGTTAAGCATTTAATTTCTTAGTTAAGACACATGAAATATCAGGTGCAGGAAAAACAAAATTGCATGCTACTGGGATAAATTAGGGGATCAGTGATAACTTGGTGTTGATGTGAACATTAGTTGTCCTCAAGGATCAAGTAATTAAACCATATACTCAATACAATAGCAAAGGGTTAAAGAAAACAACTTTTTATTATAATTGCCTTTAGTATATACTTACCAACCTTAAGTTAAAATTTGCTACTTCAATACACATTTATCTTTTAAACAAATAAACAACAAATATAATTAAAAGCCACAATTACATGTAAGAAATGAAATGAAAATTTTCAAAATGTTAACAATCAACAGGAAAAGTATAAGGATTGATTTTATGTTAAAATCAAATTATATGTACCTTAGAGTAGCATTTTCATTGTGCTTACGAAAGTTCATGATTACTACTGCCCTGCACAACAGTTCAGAGAATTTATGTTTAAAAGTAAAAATCTAAAATCAGCAGTATGAGTAGAGCATGGGCTTGTCACATACCAAGGCTGATCTCTTTCTGGAAAAACAAACCAGTAATTTCAGCATGACTTAAAGTGCTTCTTGGGTTTGAGACTACATGGACTTCCTAAAATATCTTTAAGTTTTCAGGCATTTCCTTTTTCCCAGTACATTATTAAGTATTACATTATCCATTAAATTGCCATTATAAATGCTAGGCGTTTAATATGAAAACACACAATTATCATACATGTACCATGGATATTAAACATTTAATGTACTACACTGTGTAAATTTTTTAATATACACTGATATAAGTGAAACAAACCATCTATAAAATACTATTTTTTTCCCTAGACCAAGAACACAGTATACCGGCTTTTTTTGGGAAAAAATAACTACAAAGATTACGTTATACTTATGTCGTACAAGTGCTTTGATATAGTTGGAAGAAACTGTAATTTTTCACCTCTCTTTTAATTCATATAATAATCCATATAAAGCTTTTAAATTATTAGTAACTTCTCCACACAAGCAAGCTGGATATTTTAATTGAATCATAAATTACAATATACAGTAGTGAAGACAATTTTGTTGTTCTATTTACCAACACATAAAATACACTTAGCTATGTCAGTATGTTTAAGAATAAAATATTAAGTTTTAATGAATGTGAGTAACAGTTTACAATTCAAGTTGTTAGGAGGCTCCTGGTAGTAACAGAATCAAATCATCACTTGATAATTCTTGCTTTTAGGGCACAGAGTGCATAGATTATTGTAATGCACAGCACTAAAAATTCAGATATTTCAAAGAAGCATAAAGATGTAGAATGTGGCTGCATTCCGCACAAGAGCATGATCATAAAATATTTAAAAAATGTCTGCTATAGTAAGTGTGTAGTTTCTTCACCAGACAAAACAAACTATTTTTGCAAAAAAACTATGATTGAATTTACTTCTACAAAGGCAAGGGAAATTCTATAACATTTAAAGGTTTTTACCTTTATCATTCAGACATTTTACTGCCTGATAGTCTATTTTCACTCTTACATTACAGCATTGGAAATAAATAAACTTTATGTAAATGTGATAATCCTAAAATGCTAAAAATAATAAAATAAATCATCTAAACATGTGTGTGGTACTACAAAAAATAGAAATAAATATCAATGTTTCAGTCTTAAATTGAATAAATAGAAGACATGCAGTGAAGACAGTTTTGTTGTTCTATTTACCAATACATATAAAATATACTTAGCCATGTCAGTATGTTTAAGAATAAAATAATTAGCTTTGATTGATGTGAATAACAGTTTATAATTCAAGTCGTTAGGAGGTTAAACATCCCTGGTAATAATAGAATCAAATCATCACTTTTTTTCCCTAGACCAGTATTTTTTAAGTATGGATACGTTTGTTGGTGAGTAGAGTTCAGCAACTGTTATATAAGTGAAATCTCGGTAATACTCTGAAAATTTCATTTTTATTTTAAATAATTCTCAAAGTATGGATCTGATAACATTTAACATAATTAAATAATAAAAATGAACCATATGCTTGTCAAATGTTTAACATAAGTACTCCATCTAGCGAGCTTTGGTGTTTCTCTATATATATATATATATATATTATTTTTTTTTTTTTTGTAATAGACATCAGTATTGTTCATCAAATATCATGTACTGATATTTGCATGAGTTTTAAAAACAATTTTATTTGCAACAATGAAAGAAACAATCAACTAATTTAAACATGATATAGGTCTATAGCTGAATTTTTTAATATTTTATTTCTGATGTTTTTAGGGTGATAATGTTTATCAATTTACATGAAAATTTTTTATTTGAAAAAATTAAGTGGTTTTAGTACAGCAGTCTCATGGAAATTTGTAGAGAGAAACCAAGAGAATACTATTAATCATACTATTTTTAGATTGTTACAGGTTTTGTATTACTTTGCATGCATGATACACTTTCATATACAACAGTTTAAGATAAAACAAAATAACTTACTCTTAAATTATTGTACCTGAAGATAGGATTTCCTCTAGCTTTTCCTTTATTTTATACACTAATTGTAATTATTTCATTAATTTCATAAAGAGTTTAATTATGATTGAATAGAGCAAGAATTAGATCATCATTTACTAACAGAGTAAATATAAAGGTTAAATAGGTTTCTTTTCTAGTTTCTGTAAACATTTGTTTTCTCAAAAATTGTGAAAATATTTGTGTGTTAAATTCTATCTCTTTGAAAGCTACAGAAATTGTCTTCAATGAGAAGACATCAGATAACTTGAGATAAGGTGGGTAAGCTTATACAGTTTAAAGACAGACTGAATAGGTAATAAAAAATGTTATTAAAAGATTGACACAGTAACAAATGTATAATATTTGAAGAAAAATCTGTCTTCATCATGGAAAATAAAATATAAACATTTAACTTAAAAAACTTTCAATATTCATTTATGAGCTTCTAGAGACTATACAAATGAAATGTAAAAAACTGTACGATAATAAACAGTATTTTTATACTTCATATAAAAATCACCTTGCAGGTGAACTATTCAGAGTCTGAGTGCAATTAACTACATTATATAACACATATTTTTATTAGAAATAGTAGAAAAAATAAAAATTACATATTTTGTTTTTCTGAAACTACATACTTTTAGAAGCATTCTTGTGAAATTTTAAACAATTTCATCAACTAGTTTTATTTTTGGAATGAAATATTATAAGAGTGATGTTACCTTCTAAAAAATTTAGAAGCCGATACCCAAAGGGTTGATAATAATTTCAAAGTATTTGCCAGACAAATATTGTGTTATAGAAAATATTTAAGAACTATGTGTATATAATTTAAGAAGCAAGTACATAACTATTATGCTTTTAATTACTGGATATTTCACTTAACCCCTCCCAATCCATTTTCTTAAGTGTACATTGTTGTTTTAATTTTTTTCTGGTTCTTTTTTAATTGCAGACTCAAGATATCAGTTAAGTCCAAAGCTGCCCTGATAATTATTGAAAATAAGAAACAAATGATTGATACCATTTGTGATGAACTCATTCAAGATGAGGACCTTTATTAGATTCACATATATGCATGAACTAGTTATCACAGGTAGCAACAACATCCTAGCTGAAACAGAAATCTAGAGATCCACAGAGATGATATATCTATCTCTCATGAAGGAATTTACAATATATTTATACAAAAAATGGAAATGTTTCCACAGAGATGATATATCTATCTCTCATGAAGGAATTTACAATATATTTATACAAAAAATGGAAATGTTTCAAACGTCAGTAGGAAAATTATCTTGACCTGGGACTTGAGTATCTGGTAGTTATGGAATCACCAGTCCAACAGAGAACTGGAATAGACAATGTGCTACTGTATATGAACATAAAGCTATTATGCTGGAATTATCATATTTCCCTGCCCTGACAAGATGTGATACTGTAGCATCTTGTATTGGCATTTTTAAAGGAACTGTGTTAAAGTCTCTCCAAACTGAATATTCCCTCTCTTTAATGGGTGAAGCTATGCTGCTATGTCTGGCATCATTGAATAGACAACCAAATTCATTGCTGCATGCTATGGATAATCAAAATGTGCTAGTATGTCAAAAGAAGGGCAGTAAGGTTTGTCAAAGGTGCCACAACAACACTGAAGTTTAAAGCAGCTTGCCACAACAACTTGTTACTGAATTTTGTACTCATAGTACAGATACTAAGGCTGTTTGCTGCAATCCCTAATTCTGAGCTACTGACCATATAGAGGAAAGTCAGTCAGTGATACTATACCACTCACTACTGATGTAAGATATTTACTATCACTCTTATAATACATCCACAGCTTAAAGTGTGGGGAACATTTTGTGGTATTACATGGATTTGATCCCTGCTAATAAGCTCCAAAATACACAGCTCTATCACGGGGCCAACCTACACTTCACCGCCAAAAACAGAAGCTTTTTTTTAAAAATGTAAAGATGGTCCATATTCAAATGTGTATTTGGAAATTTTCTCTTGATTCAGACCTACCTTGATCCAGTAGAGTATGAATAGGTATTGATGATAATTCCATTTGTTTTTACAGATATCTTGTTTTATCAAATGCATATGTGAGGTTAATACACCTTGTAAATCTATGAGATACAGTTGCAATAATGTAAAACTGCCATGTTCAGGTGGTGTGAGCTGCTGCAGCAACCTCATAAAATCAGCTTTACACTCAATTGAAGAAGAGACAGATGATTAAAACATTTTACCCATTCCATTGTCTTACAAACATGTGAGTATTAACTGTTAATTAAGATTAATTCACTTATTAAAATTGATTTACTTAATTTTTACAATGTCAACTAATACTTTTAATGCTGGGGCATAGACAGACGTGAGAA